TATAGTAAGAATTGTCCATTGCTCTTTCTCTTGCAATCTCTCCCATGTTTCCATGCTACAAAGTTTACAAACACGGCTTCTCTTGCTAGTCTAATGCAGGAAGTACCGTGCTTGTGCTTTTCAAAACAAATGTTGTTTCTCCCGCTCCACTGCTTAAAACTAAGAAAGGTTAATATTTTGAAGTTGGTTTTTAGATGCATTTCTTTAAAGATTTTTTGAAAAGCTAAAATCGCTTTCGGTCTTTATGAAGTTGTGTTAGTGTGTGTATATATATATATATATATATGAATTTTATCTTTGTAACTATCAACTTTTTGTTTTTGTTTTTGTTTTTGTTTTCATAAAATTGTTGTCTTTTAATCCCAAATTGAGGCCGTATTTCAAAAGCCCCACAATTGCAGAGGTCCCTTGAATGCAACTTTAATAAAAGCGCGCATAATCGAATATCCTGTGCATAAAGTTATACCTAAAGCAAATAAAAAGCAAAGAGAAATTACAATAATAATAATAACAACAACAACAATAATAATAATAATAATAATAAATAAATAAAAGAAAAGATATTCTAAACCTGTGGTGCATTTTATTTTTCACTTCTGTTGTCAAAGGAAGTACCAAACTCTTGATTCCACTCCTCTCCCCTTCACAATTCAATCACTTTGGCATATTCTCATATTTCAATTCGATGTTAACATTTTGATAGTCAAGATGTTTATTTATTGGGGGAAAGTATTTGAGTTCGAGTTGAAAATGATTTTATTCACACATTTAAGATTGAGAAAGTGTAAGAATATAAAATTTGATTAATCCACAATTATGAGTCCCATATTAAAAAAGTGCATTGATTACACATAAAATTGTTTCATTGTTTTAAATCAATCAAAATTTATATATTTTTTTTTTAAAGCAAAAAAACAGGCAATTTATTAAAAGAAAAACATAGTATAAGAACAACAAAAGAAAAGAAAACCTATTATAAACTACAAAAAGGCTCAAAACACACTACAGATCTACTCGCAAATGTGGCCTAGGCTCCATTCTATGGATGGAAGGCCAGCCTCACGAATAAAATCATACCCTCCCTGTCATCGAAGATGTCTGCCGACGCCGCTTGAACTCCACCACTATCACCACTGCACCAAAAACTGAAGCTCAAAAAATCCACAATAACAAAGAAACTGTTGAGGACAAACCAAAATTTATATAAAAAACGAAGAGAATATCACAAAATTCCTATTCCTACATATCTACACTGTGGAAGTGCAGATCTACAATCTGTAAAAACTTTTGAAAATTCTTAAATCATGAAAGTTTGAAGATTCTTGATTCCAATAAGAATTTCTCTGATCTTTTACCTAGTGGCTTCTTAATTCCTGTACTTACTAAGTAACTTTTTATTTATTTATTTATTTTATAAATAATTAAAAGGTTGAATCTAAACAAACAAGAGTCATAATCTTCTCTCTTCCTACCATCTCACCATTTGTTGATTGATTTTTATTTTGGGTTTTCTCTTTTCGATAATTCAAATTTTTGCTTACTTTCAATAAAACAAACTTATCAACAAATAATTAAAAATAACAATATGGTTCGGTTACATATTCCCCATTACCAATCTTCATATTTGACAACATATATAACTAAGATCATCGCGATGAACTGCCACTTAGAGCCCCTCCATGTAAATTAAGCTCTCTAAATAGATGCGTAAACCGACTTTGTCACACTCCATTTGTGCAAAACATTGCCAACAATATCATAGAACTGGACACCAACTTCGTTTTGAGTAATTTGCAATGTCATAAAGCCTTGTCCATCGTAATAAAACTTCATTTCCTTTGGATTCCACCCTTTAACATTGCCCCTCCATGCTTTTGATCCGCCACCGCTAGTCAGAAACTGAAGTGGACTAGAAAAAATAATAAAAAATAAAAAGAAACAATTTAATTAGTATTTATTCCATTGAATTAGTCAATTTTATTGTTTTTAGAAAATTTAATTGTATCCCATGATATTGTTTAATATTAGTAAATCAAATTACCTGTCAAGACTACTGATGTGTTCCAAGCAATGGTCATGCCCATTTATGTAAAGATCAACATTGTTAGCCTGTAAAAAAAAAGGAAAAAGACAAAAAAAAAGAAAGAAAAAGAAATGGCTTAATTAGGTTAGTAAACATTGTAGGTTGGATCAATCATAATTTCTAGCCAGAAAAGATTGAAAATTTTATTGTTTGGTGTATTATAATTTTGGAAAATACTATATAAACGAATTTTTTGTCTGATTTTGGAAACAAAAAATATTTAAAATTTGATATAAAAAAAAAACTCATTTTTCTATTGTGAAAACAATTTTAAAAAATTCAAAAATAATTTATTGTGTTTCACAGAAAGTGGGTTGTTTTATTAATTTTTTCCAAAAACAACTTTTTTAATTTTTAATTTTTTTTTTTCTCTTTCAAAAAATTACAACTAGGCAGACGTAGATTTCACTTGTATTTATTAATGTGGATTTCATATCTTTGTATAGGGTGATAAGAAAATCTAATAAAAAAAATCTTTTAATATATATGTTGTATTACTCTTAACTTTTAGCATTTAAACAAAAATGTAATGTAATGTACCTGAAGTATTGGGAGAAGTTTGGCAACAAGCTCAATGGTGTCTCCATGAATTCCAGCACTTCTCATAGTATGGTGCCCAACCACTATTTTCCACGTGGCAATTGATTCCCTTAATGCTGAATCCACATCCTAAAATTCATAATAAAATAAAATAAAATAAAGCTTATTAAAAGTTATTTATCTCAAATTAAACCTTTAGTATATTTTCTACCTAATTTTTGTTAGTTTCTTCCTTTCACAAATGTTTTGCAAATTTAAAGAAAAGAGATCTTGTTTGTTAGGCTAAGAAATTTAATGAGTGAATTTGAACTGCTTGTTTGACACTAACTCAAAAGTAGCTATTTTAACCTTGAAAATGTGAAAAGAAAAAGGAAAATATTTGGGACCCCTTTGGGATGACCCCCTACCCCCAAAGTGTTTCTGGCCCTCCATGTATATGTGGGACCCACTCATGTATATGTGAGATCTACATTATGAGTGATTATTTGTGAGGTCATGTGAGAGTCTTATGAGAGTGGGGGTCTCAATCATTACTAATAGAAAAAGTCTCATGTCCAAAACGTTTTGTAACATAACTAGTTTTCTAATTTTTTTTTATTGCAAAATTACTATCTTACCCTTCACTATCTTTGAAGAATGAGTGAAATGCTCATTTGATATCCAATAAAATTGGCATCTTACCTTTCATCATCTTTGAGTGTGTGAAAACCCCCAATGCTAGCTTTTTAAACATGCCAAACTATTTAAGGCCTTTTTAACTTCAAAAAAAAAAATTTGTGGTTGAAGGCTGTGCCAAAGGAGGTTTTACCGTCAAGAGATTTGAGAGATAATCCTTCCGGGGAAGCACACCCCGCCAGTCATAAGTATGGTCTTCTTGAAAGTATTTATCTCGGAATGGAGTTGTATCCACGAAGAAAAATTCTACAATTTCTGCTCAACACGAACGAGGAAAAAAATAAAATGGCATGGAAAATATGAGAGGTATACTATATGTCAAACGCAATCAGAGAAATCGCATGCTTATTTTATTTATTTATACAGGAATAAAACAAGAGAGTTCAAAATTAAATGGGTCTGAGTTACTTTTTAATTACCTGCATTGAGAATAAAAGATCTCATGCAAAGCCATCTGCTATCCCTCTTCGTAAGGACAGGACTCAGTTGTGCTAAGGCATTACCTCTATAGTCATGGTTGCCCAACACTGCAACACAAACCAAGAGAAAAAAACAAACATATACAATATTAGTTCTTCTATTGTATGGAAATTAAATACAAAATTGAACACAATCTTCTCGCACGTATGCAAGACTCACCAAAATGTAGGACTCACTTCATGTGCAAATATTTGTTTGATTTTTTGATCAATTTTGTGTCCTAGACTTTTCATACAATATTAAGGGTTGTTATGTATCATTAGACGAGTTTTACACTAATGCTATATACACTAATTAATACACTAATTAGTGTATCAATTGATGATGTGGCGTAATTTAAGAGGTTTTTAGTATTTGTAATTTGTATAATGAGTGAGATTTATAATAATGTCATAACTAGTATTAGTACACTAATTAGTACACTAATTGATGCATGTAGCACTACCATTTTATATTTGGTGTGTTGATTCACATTATAAATGTCATGTATATATTAGGAAATCACAACACTTAATTAGAACTGGTGAGACACGAAAGAATAATAAAGGCTTATTTTGCCAACACTATTAAAAGTCAAATTTTTTACTTTTTAAAATCACCGCTTCTCTACTTTTTTGTACGTTTTTTTAAAAAAAAGCTAAAAAAACCTAAAAAATTAGCCTTTAATCTATTTTTCAAAGTAGGCTAAAATACCCTTACACAAAGAGAATACAAGATTTATTACTTGCTTCACTTCGGGATTAGGGCTATATTGATGGCTATTGTCGTTTTCATTATGATTAAAAAGTTTATCAGAGATTACCATGATAGCCGTCTCGTCTCAATTATCAATTAGGACAATAAGTCACATGTGCAAAAATATTAAAAATATCCTTACTCTAAATTTGGATATTCAGTGTCCAATACTTACAGTATTTATAGGGTCCATTATTTTTAGTTACGGTTGGTCTTACATGTACATAGATGGTCTATTGTATAGATCTATATTTAGAATAAATAAAAAAAACAATCAATAAAAAAAAAAAACTAATGAAATACATCCGACGACATATATCATCAGGGACGGAATTAAGAGAAGACTATAGGGGGCCATGACCTTCCTATTTCTGTAAAAAATATGATTTGTCATAGCATTTTAAAAATATATATCATTTTATACATAAAATGGCCCCCCCAGTATAAAAAATATATATATCATTTTTCTCCTATCTTGAACTCTCTCTTTATTTTGCACCAAAAAAACTTCATCCTATTAAAAATTGTTTCTATGGTATTTGAATTTTTTTTTGTATATATACATAATTTATATATTATATTGTACATACATGCGTGCATATGTATATGGTGAAATTTTTTTATTTGTCTTTTGGCCCCTACGGTGATGAAATCCTTGTTCCGTCCCTGTATATCATTTTCCTATTAATTTAAGAACAATAATTAAAAAAAAAATACAGTAGTTTAATAAATTGAGATTAGAGAAACCCATTTATAATTCTTATTATTCAACACAAAAAATAATATGATACAAATATTTGCAATAATAATAGTATTAGTTTGAAGCTTGAATATCACCTGCGTACCACTGTTTTTGCAAGCTTGGGGCAGTGTAAATATTGGTAAATGACTCATCAAAAGCTGCATCATGTACATCTGTCAATCCATCTTCGTAAAAGTTATCACCTGTTGAAATTATAAAATCTGTGTCCAACTTCTCTGCTGTTTTTCCCATCTGCGAAATGTTCATTAAAATATTAGATTTCGATCCAAATAATTTTCCAAAATAATAAAAAAAAATTCTTAATTTGTTGTTGTCAGACAAATTTAATTGGGATCGATCGACTTCGTGGTTTTTTCAATAATGACACCCATAAAAAAAATCAGTGAAATAACCAAGGTATGATTAGAGAATTAGCTTTTTTTGTTAGCACCAAAGGAATTGTTTACCAAAGAAATCCAATAAATAAATGATTTTACGTTTCTTAATTGCTCACTTTTATGGTGGAAATGTATAATAATTTTCACCCATTAAAAAATTATTCTTCACACAATCTGAATGTGTGAATAAAAGCCTCTAATGAAAAGGTGTGCACATGATGAGCCCCATACATGGGTCACCACCACATGCGCTCAAAGCCCATAATAGCTACAGACATGGACAACATCATTGGTATAAAAAAATTCCCAAAAATCACAAATGTGTATTTCCCTTTATGCCCCTTCAATAAAAGGTAAATCAAGTATTTTGGATATGTTAAAAAGCATGAAGTAGTGTCCCATAATGATCAGTTAAGTGGATATGATGCCCATGTTCCTTGTGTATATGTTCCACAAGTTGCAGTCTCCCCTTGTGTATATGTTCCACAAGTTGCAGAGTCTCCCAATCAACTTTTTTCTTTTGATGGTAAGGATATGATTGATGAAGGATAATTTTTTCTATTTTTACTTATTGTTATCGGACATCATAATAGTTGCTGGTTCCAAAAAAATTGGTCAAAAAAAGCACCGGAAGTGGTTGACGATGGGTGGTGGTGATGATATAGATAGATAAGTAAACAAATAAGTGATATATGAAGAGATAGGTAGAATTTATGAAAATGCTTTCAATAATGACGTAAGAAATGTAATTATATATAACATTGTTTTAAAAATAAAATATACTCATAATAAAAATAAATAAATAAATTCATGACTCATATCATAATTTGTGTTTGTAGAATTGTCTATTTTCATCTCACCAAAATAAACCAATAATCTTAGGAATCTAAAAATAAAAAAAATCTACATAATGTTTTATATATATATATATATATATATTTGACGTCTTTGGCATTTCACCAAAATAAACTACATGATTTTAAATGAGTCATCTTAGCGCCAAGGCATTTATCTAATCTAAATGAGGCATCTTAGCACTAGGGCATCTACCTAATTTCAAATTTTGAAAGGCTAAATGAGGCATCTTAGTGCTCAGGCATCTACCTAAATGAGGCATCTTAGCGATAAGGCATTTACTTTTTAAAGTTCCACAAGAATTCCGTGATTTTTTTTTTTTGTTTTTTTGTCCTTTTCAATTCATGGAATTAAATAATTTTAGCAGAACCGAAGGGCATATAATTTTAAAATATATATTGTGTTATTATAACATCTGTAATCTTTGGATCATGACTTAGTATTGCAATATTAATTATGACTTATTATAATTATTATTTTGATTATAATAAAAAAATATATTTAGTTATGCCTAAAATAATATTTAATTATAATTTATTGTGTTTCTTTAGTTATGACTCAAAAATAAATTTGTTATGACATCGTAAGTTCCATATGGTATTTTGGAGTGTGCATTGTAAAATGATCTTATAATATATAATGCTTCAATTAACAGATTATTATCAGTTAAAAGTTAATAATTATAAGCAAAAGTAAAAAACACTCACCATCTACCTTCTGGATAATCAATTTTTTAAAGTTATTTTTGTTTCATAACTTATAAGAAATTAC